AGCGGCTGGATCCGTCTGTTCCCGTTTCCTGCAGTCATGCAAAACCAGAAACTGTCCCAGTGTTAATTCCTGGCACACAAGGAGCAGACCGTTCCATAGTCACGATGCAGAGAGTGGGTCACACAACATTCAGCAGAACAGAAACAAAACATGATTTTTTTTTCAACTTCTTCACTCATGCTCCTGGCTGCTGTTTTAGAGGGAATATTAACCACTGGGATAAAGGGAAATTTCTTTATCTGTAAAGCACCTAAATAAAAACTGCACCATGGCATGCTTGTCCAGCCTTTGAATCACTCTTTGATTGCATCCACCAGCAGTGAAACATGCCACGTGAACTCTTTTTTCTTCTCCCAGGAGCGACAGATTTTGACCTAAAACAGAAAGCTTGTTCAAGAAAGTGGTGATACCAACATACCAGTAGCACTGTTTGTTGCTGGATGTTTTCTTTTTGATGTTTCACTTCAGGGTAAACATGAGAAGCAGGTCAATAAGCTTTCAAAACTGTTACATATTCAAAACTCTCAATACCTTGAAACATTTTGCCTGCCATCCCCATATGATGTCATGGGTTTTATCCTCCACACCTTTAAAAAACACAACCAAACACCAACCTGAGGTTTTAGAAGATCATTTGGTGTCCAATTTTCTTGGGAATTCCTTGCCACAGACTATGTGCACCACTTCTCACTTGCTCAAAGGCAGCTCAGTAGCAGGTTACCTGCAAGCAACCCACTACTGCTGTCCCAGCTGTCCCTATGCTCACTGGTAAGAGTGGACGTGCTCTTGTTCCTTTTGCAGTTAATGTTGTCCAGTTTTTTATCACTTCAAGCTACAGAACTTTGTCAGGCTCTCAGAATTTCCTGCACAGTAATGAGTACTGCCCCACTGAACAAGTCACAGTGCTACCCAAAAGGAAAAGCAATAAACCACACCAGTATGTCCTTGTGCAAAGCAGTGAGAAACTAAGAAACAACTTCAATTTATCTGGACAGGATGTAAGGAGGTAAGAAAGCACATGTGAAGGTCTGCACATGGCAGGATTTATATTCCTTGAAGTTATTCCTTAGCAAATGACTGAGTAAACTCATACCCAACCTTGCAGACTCAGCTGACATTGAGGAGCCTCAGCAATCTTTCATCCCTGGCCTTCACTGCCACACATTTTATCAGGCCTGCAATTCCACATGCAAGTACCAAGTCAGTATAAAACAACTGCTGTGTCTTTTGTCCAATTCAAATTGCTTGTTCCTATATATATCATCCTCCTAAAAGTTCAGGGAGTAAATCAATCTCCTATCAAAATTAGTACTTATTCTTCATTAAAACTAGTCATGTTACCTCTGCTACTGAGTCCCCCTAGTACCAGACAGTGGGAAGTTCATGGAGAAGAGGCTTTTGAGCTAAGCAGTCACCTCTTCTTGCAGACCCTTCAGCACTGCTGGACTGCAAACTTTGTCCTGTTTTAGAACTGCCTGAGAGGTCCCAATACAGGCAGAAAGTGCCCTGATCTCATCACACTGTGTGACTTCACTACAGTTTATCCACATCACCTAAGCTTCCTCAGCTAAACTCTGGTTAACTACTGTCTGACTAGAAGGGATGAAAAGCACATCATGACAGTTAAACATGGCACAAGAACATTTGGTATAAAGCAGAGGATTAGTTTTATTTCCAGGCATGAGAAATTTAAGATGAAATTTCCCAAAAATACAACTCATTTTAAAATATAAAGGCCATCAACATGTGGCACCACTGCTTTTCCTCTCTGCATTCAGTTTCATTGCATACAATTTTTTCAAGTGCAAACAGGACAGGGGTGAACAGCACAGCAACAGACAACATAAGACCTGTAAAGTATATACAGTGTTCCTACAGAATAAGTAGAATGAAAAGGAAAGCTGACTCTGTGACCCATTAGAACTTTATAAATTTTCATCACATCTGAAGTTAACAGTGAAAAATTTACAGTATCAAAAAGGAGTATAAATTGTATTAGGCACAGTGTTAAACTGTAGAGTAGGAAAAACAAGGCTTTGAACAAGCCATTTGAAGCATAATAGAAAGATTAAGGCATTAATGCAGACTTGGTATCCAACAAACTATATTAAGGGCATCTTTGGGTCACTGGAGTTTTTCATCTGGAAGAAATATCTTCTTTACCTGCAAAGCAAGAGGCAACTTAATTATTCCTTTCCACAGAGAAAATTTGCTAATTGAAGACCTAGTTGTTAGCAACAATTGTTTCCATTCCACAAATGCACCAAGAAATGGTCAAGAACTGTAGATAATTCACCTATATGAAGCTTCAAGAATAATTTCTACTTTCTTGCTTTCTTAGCATTTTTTAATTTCTGGAGTTACTTTAAGTAGCTTTATTACACTATAAACTGCTAGAACAACTATTTCACTGGAAAGTTTTCAATGCTTTAACAGTATCCAGTGATCTGGACAGCCCTTCTTGCACTTGTATGAAGGAAGTTCCTGGTCCAAGAACACAGACTGTACCTTCACAAGTTGGAGGAGAAAAGGTAGTGTTAGATCACATGGCTTAGAGGAGGCCATAGCCCTTATTTACAGAAATTTACATGTTCTTACAAGCCATTAACTTGATGATGTATCAGATGACTTGTCTATACAAGCATCACTTGAATTGGAGGATACTGACCAAAAAAAAAAAAGACCAAACTTATGTTAATTTGGCACAGGTCAATCAAGGCAGCTCTGTGGAAGCTCTTTGCAGGAGCCTCTGCATTTTCAGCTTGCTCCCCTGCACAAGTAAAATGACTTAAGACTATCCCTGTTTTTAACAAGGATCTCTCTACTCTGGGAGTTACTATTTCATTCTCTTTGCATTGTCAATACTAATCCACCCAAACCTCAACTGAAAGATAAATGGGAAGCAGAAAAACGTTTAGTACATGCACCCTGAGTGGTAGAGAAGCACAACTTTAAAGCCAAAAATAAGTGGTCAAGCAAGAAACTGTAGCTACATTTAGAGGATTCTGTGCAGTGTCAGAGACCTAACCCAGCTCTTTCAGATGGAATCTAATTCACAGTTTCTGCCTGCTGAGAAACTCAACAGAAAGCTCTGAGTGCAGAGGCTCAAAACTACAGAGGACAGGACCCTGCAGCCTGATCAAGGCAGCCACCTCCTTGCTGCTCAGCTCACTCAACTCGGCAAGAGTAACTCAGACAAGATTGTGGAGAATAGTATGTCCTGTAATAGCACCTTTGTAGCAAGAAAGAACAAAGTATTTCTCTATGATATTGGAGGATTATTGTAAGCTTTTACTTTTTTCAAACATTCTTTTTCACAAATACAAGAACCTTCATTTTATTCCCAAATTAAGACGATGAAATAAAATATAACAAAGATTAAAGCAAACTGCTCCATATAACACAGCAGCATACACTATAAAGGTCTCAAATTCTCCATTAATATGTTTTAAAATGACAGCTCCTCACATAAACTCTTTGGCCACCCCGGACTGCACTAGTTCCCTCTTCTTTGGTACAAATTGGCCACCAGTTCTCTGGAAAATCCTTCACTGGGAGAGGATTCTTTTAGCAGTTCCTAGAGACCAAGAGTTGTATCTCAGCTCCAGTTTGTCCTTGCTGGTTACAACACACAGACCACTCACCAGTCAGAAGGAAGCCAAATTTTTACACGCAAGGCATCTACTTATCCAGATAACTACACTTCATTTTCAGATCCCAGGCAACTGAATTATCCTGTGGGATTCAAGATCTGTATGCCCCTTATCAGAACATGCTGGTCTCTGTTTTAGCCAATGAATTGTATGTTGACACGTGAGCAGTGAAAACCTAAGAAATTCAGCTTGGCTGACTTAGGTAATTACAGGGTTCTGCTTGAAGCCAGGCCAAGTCTACCTTGAGCTTCTGCCTGCTGCTTATAAAGCAAAGCTAGAGACACTCACATGCCAGCCTTGACAACCCCACAGTTCAGATGAAGCCTGCTCTGAAGCAGTGGAGCTTTGCTTCAGGGTAAATGTTCAGGATGCTTCACATACAGCATTTAACTGAGCTGTAACATCAATTGTCATCTGTCTGCTGCTATAGGACTTCTGTAAACATAAGTTAAAGTAGTAACAACAAGGGGGTGGGCAGTTAAACCTAACAAAAAACCCCACAGCTAAAGAACTAAGTGTGTTCAGAACTAACTGAACTGGCATTCCATTGCCAGCAGAAAAAACTAGAATCATGGGTACTTCTTTACACATCTATCCTCCATTTGAATCTTCAAGCCCAAATGCTACTGGTTCTAGAGAAACCTGAACTCAACACCGTAGTTTTAGTACAAGACTTTGTATTTTGATGGTCATGGCAGAAACCACACCCAAGAACTGCAACAACAGCATTCCAATAGCACTACCCAGATAGCAACCATCAGGCTCACCTATGATTAAAAGTTGCACACAGGCTATCATTTAAAAAACCCAAAACATTCATCTGTAAACTCAGTGCTATACACTGACAGGAGATAAAGAACCATCCTAATTTCTCAGTCTGATGTTCTAGATGAATGAGGGCTACTGTATGTTGCCTTGGGAATCAGAGCAGCAGGTAGTAGGTTTGGAGAGAGGGTTAACAGTTGTTAAACATGAGGAAATCCACTCATGCCAGCTATTAAGACACCTCAGCCCAATCACTTATTTTTTTTGTAGGAAGAATAAATGTTCTGCTCTTCTAACAAACCCCTGCTTACTGAACACAGCACCACATGACATGAAAGCAGAGAAAAATAACTACAAAAATTCAGTTGAAGCTTTTCATGGTATCCAGTCAATATGAACATCCAAAATATGTTTGGTTGCAGCCTACAGAAAGATAAGATTTCTCCTGCAAAAAAACTAGCCCTTCTGAACATACTGCTTCAACTACTCTTCAATGTCTCCTGAAGCTTTACCATGCCAAATATATGAATAAATCTGATGATACTCACCTAGTCAATAAATTGTAGCAGAGGACAGGCATCCTTAAGGCCAGTCATATTGGAGATACCAGATTGTTTCATTGCTTAACTGTGGCCCAAAGAGAGGGTTGAGTTGAGCCAGAATTGCAATCAGCCAACTGCAAAACAACCCCCCCAGACCAAAAAGAAAGAACATCAGCCAAATGACAAAGCTTACGATAACGGCAAGGCTTGTCCAAAGCACAAGTACTGCCAGTGAAGAGAAGATTATTTTCAGAAGGTCGAGTATCAAATAAAAATTTTACTCAAGCTCTTACAGAAAGACCAAACTCCAGCAATGAAGATCTGGTACCGAATCATTCTGCAACTGAAACAATAAACTGTCCCACTGGATTTAAAGAAACACAAAACCATCCGAGAGCATTTCTCTTGTATGTTTCCTCTGACAGGGAAGTGTTTTGAAACATGAAACTCAGGTATTTTGTGGGCTCAGAAGACAGAAACAGAAGAGAGACTGACCTTTTCTCAGTGCCTTTGAGGCACCCTTTAAACAAAAAACCTCTGAGAAACACACTCTCTTTTGCTCCTATTTTCAGTATAGGACAACCTCTCCTTGCAGACACGGTATATTTTTAATCAGAGATTGGACAAATGTGAATTTAAACCTGGCACAGAGGTCAAGAAACAGGGACCTGATGCCAAACGGTACAATGGTACAGGAATATATACACGCAGAAAAAAATTAAAAGCCCCATAACAACAAACTAAACATGACAACAAACCCCATATCATCAGCAACAGCAGCCTTGTCACCAGAGCAGCTCACAAACTAACACTGCCGAAGCCATAGCCAGAATGGAGAACAAGAGGAATGCAGTTTGTGGAAAATATCCAGGAAAGCTAAACAGAAATAAATATTCCACTGTGAAAAGATGTATTTGCTTTGTAAATATTACAAGATTCAGAAAAAGCAATAGGTGCTTCTATGGATTTAAATCTATGTTAAATACTAACTATATAAACACATTTAGTGAACACACTGGCTCATCTGTCTGCTATTTCTAGAATGCTTTGTAAGGAGGAGAAAAAGCAGAGCAGCTTTGTAATGGGAGCTGCCACAAATGTATCAGAGTGCTTAGGCAGTCATGGAAAATTCCACACAAACCTTGATGCTCTGACCAGCAAACGAAGTCAGCTCTAAAATGGCTAGAGCAGCCAGGGGCAAAAGATGTGGGCCAGACTTAAAGAAAACACATCAATCCTCTTAAAAATTTAGAAATATTTATTCTCAATGCCCCTTTCAGTTTTGCACAAAGTAAGACTCCAGTTAAAATGACGTGCTGAGCCTGCAGCAGTCTATCAGTCATGCAAGCCTTGAAATGTACAGCAGGCTCTACAAAGCAATTAAAACACCAGCAAGACCCCACCAAGAAGGACCAATAACCTTTAGGTTGATGTGCTTCCACTGTGCTACCCAAAGCGATTACAACAATGAATTCTGAAACCACATTAATGATTATGTTAAATTTACTTAAGGGAAAAGCAAATCAACTCCTAAAAATACCACAGAATTTATTTTGCAAGGGTTAATAACTCAGATACAAAAGACAGATAAAAGGGATGCCAGAGCACTGTACCATCTGCCTTTGGCATCCTGAGCTAACAGAAGTGGGAGGAGAGTAGGAACACTAAAAGCTTGTTAAAGCACATTATTCTCTTTCTCACTGTACAGAAGGAAGGAACTCTATGCACAAATACCTCACTGCTCTATGCTTCCTGAGTGCAGCCTCAGCATGGCTGTGAACTGAATGAGCTGGAAGCACATTCAAAATATTGACGTGTCCCAGCTGCAGAACCAGGCTTCAGGCAAGCACTGTGCTGCTTTCAAAAGCTATTTTTTGGGACCACGCTGGATACCCAAGCTCTGAGCCACAATGGCATTACAGGTCAATAGTATGTTCCTCCTCCCTGCCCTGCCAAGGCCTAATAATTTAAAGCAGCAGTTAGGCACTGAACACCACACCTCCCTTGAAACCAGAAGCCATGAAAAAGCTTTTCCCACGTTTTGCTGAAGTGATGCCACTTTATACAGTAAACTATCATGATAATACAAAACAAATTGTGGCACTCAGAGCAAAACAAAGCAAGCCTTTGTATCCAGTGTGTAATGTTCTAGAGTTACTAAAATCAGGTACAGCACTCGAGCCACCCACGGGTCCTTGTATTCTGCAAGATACCACTTACAACAGTTAATGTTAATTACCCGGCTCAGGCAAGGAAATTAAAGTCCCTTATGTTCTACCAGAAAGATTTTTTTAAAAGGTCTTTGTACCATAGCAGCCATCTGTCTATGCTGCATATTACAAATGAAGGTCCTCCTATCTCCATTTAAATGTCAATTTGAGCAATCGTATTTTAATCCTTTAGAATCAGTAGCAAATAATACCATTTTTCAAGGATTTTGTCCTCTATTAGTAGAATATCACAGAACTCTTTCAGGAACTGCTTTGCAACCAGCAGAACAGCTTTAGACTTTGACAGTACCTTGAAACATGGTGTAACCTGTAATTTCTGCAGCAGTAACTCCTTATACTTGTGCCTTGTATTTTATCAGGTTCCCCAGGCTTGTGTATTCTCCCCCAGAAGACTGCCGGGTACAATTTCTGTACACAAATTATGCACTTACCCAGGCAAATGTCTTGCATAGAACAACCAAATTAACACCACATGATCAAAAGGGTTATTCAAAATTATCACTGTTAAATCTAAACACAGAAGAAACAGCTTTAAATTTAGTTGGCACAAATTCAGTTTGATGCAAATCAATTTGTCAATCCAGTGGTGTTTATTGAAGATAGGAAATTTGGTTTTGTTCCTGTTTTCAACTGGTAACTCAAAACAGTATGAAAGCAATTCTAGCAGAGTTCAACTGTAAAAAGAAGCAGATAACAGCACAAATACAGAATATCCTACCTGGAACAACACAGCAAGCTATTTTAACTCTACCATATCCAACAAAATATCCTCAGAAACCACTCCTTTGCGCTTCCTCCAAGAATGTCATTGAAATTAAGATCTGTAATTTTTGAAATGCTTACCCCCAAAAAGGATACAGCAAGAACTTGCATATGTTTGCATAAAACAGAGGAAAGAAAGGTTGGACCAGATGATCTTTTGAGGCACTTTCTAACTAGGCCTGTTCTATGATTTTATACAGAATTCATGGAGGGAAAGAAAAAAAAAAAAAAAAAGACCAAAAAAACCCCAAACAAGACTGTGTGATGAGGGAAGTTCTGTCTTGGAACATGATGAAAAAAATCTTTTTGTTGTATTCTGGCAAGCAGACACCAGAGAAGTAATTAAGTAATTTATGATGTGGCTGGATATAATTACTGATGGCTAAAACGTAGTAAGATTTTGCTGCTTTTCTTTTTTCAAAGTGTAATTGGAGAAAACCAAAGGTAATACAGAAAACCAATTAGAGCTCACAAGATTATGAAAGAAACCTCTCACTGGATGTGCAAGAACATATTATAAATTACATTAATTACACTACATTTATAGTAAGTCTGTTTCAGTACAAAAATCTCAGTAAGTGAACTACTCCTGTACATCTGAAGAGCTCAGAGCATCCAGATTTCAGAAATTCCACCACAAATGCATTCCACATCATAAACCAGAGGATTCTGTAAATCCCATGTGGCCCCAACTTCAAGGAAATGGTCCTTCTTCAAACAATAAAAAAGAAACCCCAAGCTCCAACAATTTTAGTGAAGTAGGACATTATTTCTGTTCCAATATAGAGTAGGAGGAACTTAAGGTGAGAACTTTGAACTTAAACAAAACTCAAACCACCATGTTCCCTCTCTCCCCAGCTTACTGTACCCTAATAAAAATGAGCATCCAGTTGTTCTTTCTTAGCCAAGCACTTGGGACCTACCCAAAGACTGTGCTACTACATACTTCATGTGCAGGCAAAGAGGCCTTTATAGTACTGAGATTCCCAAATTCCAATCTGAAATTCAAGTTGCTGGCACTACAAAGCTCAAGTTTCTGCAGCTGCTCAGCAAAACTACTTAAAAAAACCCTGCCACAGATAGAAAACACAGAACCAGGTTTGCTGTACTGTTACAAACATCCAGAAGGATGATGTCTTAAAGACATCATCTGTCAAATGCTCTGACTAAAAAGAATAAATAGGCCTCACCTGTATAAAACCTTAATCACACATTATTAAACTAGATCAAACCTGCATAAGCCTGTGCCACAGGCCAACCCAACGTGGAACCAAACAGATCCCTCCTGGAAGGTGCTGACACTGATAAAATGGCTTTTGCCTGCCAGTTCTAAAGAACTTGAGATTAGAGATGTATTTCTCTTGAGTATTCATGTCAAGCTCCTTGGAGTAGCATAAATAATGGTTAAACACTTCAGGGAAGTTAAAATACTACTCAGATTCAAGTGATACTCTGAACAGTGATTTTATTACAAGTTAACCCTAAAGATCCAACCAAACTTTTATTCATTTACTCTCTGTAACAAGTTCTTCCCAAGCACTTTCTTTGACAAGATCAGTCTCTACAGTAAAAAAAAAATAAAATAAATAAAATAAAAAAAAAGAGAAAGAAAAAGCAATACTCATGTTTTCTGTTGTGGACTCCAGCTGCAGCTGGCTTACCTCTTGACAAAAAAAAGAAAACATAACACATGGTTTGAGGAGTTCCTCAACAAGCCATTTTGTCATTTCTACCAATTCTCTTGCAGAAAAATGGCAGCCTGAAAACATACTGTGCATTTTAAAAGGAAGTCTTAATATATCAAAGCATCACAAGTTTCTCACAAAAAAAATTTAAAATTATCATCTCTGAAAAAAACCCCCAATGTTTTGAGAATATATTCAACCAAACTCAGAAAAGCAAAACTCATGAGTAGGATGACATGGGTATCACCTTGGAAATAAACGTAAGGGTATAAAGAATGAAAAGAGCAAAAAGTCTGTGAATCAGAAAAATTCTAGGCTTGACAAACTGCCATTATACTTGTGAGCAAATCAGCCAGTGAGCTGGAAAGGAGCAATATCAAGCCAGTGCAGAGCACTACCCAGCAGTGCTGTGTCAGAGGGCAACAGGAACTCAGGTTTGTTTGAATTCAGTATCCACCAACAGGAAAATGTTTCCTTTAGCAGGCTGGGGGTCTTTAAAACTACATTCTAAGAGCTGTCAAAAATACCATGTGTTTAAATTTGTGACAGACTTGAAAGGCTTCTTCCTACATGTCTTGCAGCTATACAGAATTTGTGATTATATCAGAACTGCACCTTGATTAAGAGCCAAGACATTATTTATACTTACAACAGGTAGCAGCAAACAGCACATGTCACCAGCATTGTGTTGATAACACTGCCAAAAGGAAGGACAGAAACAGCTGATTAGGTGTCATGTTGTGACTGACCACAGATACATAGGAAAAAAAACCCCACCAAACAAGAACAACTTTGATCATATGGAAGGTGACTCAACATGAGTGTTCTAACTTCTTCCAGCTGAGTAAGCTGCAGAGGCAACAGCTAAGGCTCTGAAAAAGAACTAACACAGCTCTGGCAAACAGAGATAAGCAGCTGGATTTAACCAAAACCACTCTGAAGAGGAGCAAAATTTTATGCAGTGTCCTTGCTCCATTTCACAGTCACCACTACCAGTCAAAGTAGCAAACTGAAGCTGGATGATCTAATCCTAACAGCAAACAATAAACATTTTCACCATTTGCAAAATCCTGGTTATAGATAATTTCACTATGAAAATACATTTTTAATTTTATATCATGAATGAAGCTTTTACAAATTGAATACAAAATAAAATCTCAAAGCCATTTGAAATTATTTGCAGGATAAGATTTTCTTTTCTTCCTGAAAGAAAACTGACAGAAACCACACTTGAGCTGAAAAGAAGGAAGAACCAAGCAGTCCTTGAAACTGAACATGGTAAAACTGCAGCTTTACACACATGATTTTGAAATGGGAGAAATGAGGGGGTTTTTTAACAGTGAGAGCAGCACATGGAACTCAGTAGTGAAGTAGTTTGTGGGGGTTTTTTTTCCTTTTTATTTTTAATTATAAAAAGGTATTTCCTTCCATGTACTTCCCTCTCAAACTGAGTAACGAGAACTCATGTTGGGTCAGTAACTTCCAACCCTTCTGTGACATGGTGAGCATTCAATATTTTTCATCTATCAACACATATGCACCTTGTCAACTTCCAAATGAATGCTACAAAGTTAAGGCAGCCTGGATTAAGCTTCAGGAATTCCTCCTTTCTAAGGAGTCTCAGAGTCATTGGGAGTCTTAACCTACTCAATGTGAATTCTTAAGTTAATTAAAGATAGCATTGACTTCTTTTGTTAGAAAATTACCAATCCTAATCAGAAAAGGTTTTGGATAGAAGTGTATTTGGTTTTTGTCTTGTTTTTAGTTATGAGACGTTAACAAACTACACAGTGTTACTATAGATGTGCTGTAGAATCAGAACATAGCACATTTGTGTTCACGTTCATTAAACAATCACATTTAGGAACAACAGAACATCTGTTGTTGATCCACATACATCCCACATACTTTAAAGACAAGCCTAAAAGACACATTTCCAAGGTATTTCTAGAGACAGGCATATTTTCAGGCACAAAACACATGTCAGGTTTGAAACTGAAGGAGTAAATATCAGAGCTAATTAAAACTTGAGGAAATTCCTCCAAGTTTAGATGGACAACTAAGAGAAAAGACAGATGGTACCTGTGGAGCAGAGGGGATGTCAAGAGAGAGGAAGAGAGATTAAGTAGTCATTTATCTCCTACGGAAAAGACAAAGACAAAAACTTGTCTACTTTGGAATCCAAGCAGCTACAAGCACTGCAGAAAAAATGTCGTTGCTTTGATGCCCCAGGTACGTCCTCGGGCACCAGGGCCACCAGCACAGAACAACCACCCACCAGACTCAGCGCGGAATCAGAGGCCAGGGCAGCGCGTTAGGAGGTTCCGAGGAAGGAGAGAAGAAGGAAGTGATGGCTCCGACAGCACCTAACGGAACTACAGGCCGCCCTGGCACCGGGCGCGGTGAGAGGCTGGAGGGGGAGAGACTCAAACGCCTGAGGGATTAGGAAGGCACAGAGACACCTCCTGGCTCCGGCCTGAGCCGCACGCTCAGAACCCTCGGCAGGGCCGTGCTCGGGCCTCCCCGCGCCGGCAGCTCCCGCAGGAGGCCCCGGCGGACGCGGCGCTGCGGGGAAACCGCGGCCTGGACGGCGGCGGGAAGGGGAACCGGAGAGAGCCGGGCCCGCA